TGCATTATTTGTCTTTATCATAGACTTAAAATAAAAACTACATTTTGTGAAACACATAGATTCATTTATTTTAGAAGCTGTATCTTTCAGTTGCTATAAGCTGATGTACATTTTCATTCAAGTTAAATTCTCATAGGTCTCAAGTGGCTTGTTCCAGCAAAGAAAAAGTAAACACAGTACTGCTGTTTTCAGACCTGCCTCTTCATAGTTTATAATTTTCCGTTCCTAAATTCTATGTCCTCTGTCCCTTGTTTGTCTGTCCGAACAGTTCAGCACACTTATTTCACTCCTTCAGGTTGCAGTACAATTTCAGTTTCCTCCTGTTTGTTTTATCTGTGGGTTCTCTCTTGGCAGTGGACTTCCTCGTGTATTTTATCATTTTTTGGTCGATGAGCTTATCTTTAATTGTAGTCGTCTTTGACTTTAACTGAACCCATTCTGTGTGTGGCTCTTATTGGCAACACTTCTCTATGAAGTGATTGTGGCTTACCTCCACCCTGACTTCCTTGGCTTAGAAATGGACCTTTTGGTTAATTTCTCAGTGGAGCATGGCACTTTCTGACCATTTGGATGGTGTGAATTTAGGCCCTCCAGCATTTGGAGCTCAGAGTTTAGGATCCTAAGGTTAACCAGTCCTTTAATATTTGGTCTATGTCTTGAAGTCTATGAGTGTGTTGGTTTTGGAGCTACTCTTTGATCATTTGATTGCTGTTTGTCCCCTCTGGTTTTTGTTTGTGTTTTCTCCTTTCTTTCTTTCTTTCTTTTGGGTTTTTTGAATATTTTTTAGAATTCCATTTTATCTATTGACTGTTTAACATGCATTATTTTTCTTTTATCTTTGCTCTAGGGATTGCAATATGCATACTTAACTTCACAGCGTACTTAGAGTTAATATTGGACCTGTTCACATGAAGCGTAGATCCATTTACCTCCCCCTCCCTCGTCCTCTAAGGCAGGGTTTCTCCACCTGGGTATGCTGACATTATGTCATGGGAGCTGTCCCGTGCACTGCAGGATGTTCGGCAGCATCCCTGTCCTCTCCTTACTAGATGCCAGCAGCGCCCGCTGGGTTGATAGGAGATGTCTCCAGATGGTACCATATGTGCCCTGGGGGCAGAGTCACCTCAGGCTGAGAAGCCCTGCTCTAGGGCACAGGTGTGCTTTGTCTTACCTCTGCCTTTGTTTTAAACCCACCAGACAGTGTTGGAATGTTTTACTTTAAGTAGTCATATGTATTTTAAAGAAATGAAGAGAAAAAATTATTTTCTGTTTCTCTAATTTACCATTTCCAGTGCTCTCCGTTCCTGTCTGAAGAATTGCATTTCTCTCTGGTATTATTTCCTTTCAGCCAGAAGAACTTGCTTTAGCATTCCATGTACTGCAGGTCTGCTGGCCACAATTAGTTTTCTCTTATCTGAAAAAGTCTTTATTTAGCCTTTGTTCTGAGTTGACAGCTACACCTGAGCTGTGATGGATACTCAGTTATAGTGGCTCCGACTGGACTATGTTTAAAAAAAGAAAAAAACCACAGCAGGCTGTGCGGGAGGGGCCTCGTGTCCAGCTGCACGTCCTCAGCATGACTGGCTGCCACACTGCCCCTGTTGAACAATGGCTTTCTAATTCTTTTCACATTCTTTCATATTCACCTGGTATCTCTGGGGTGGCTGTTAATTGCCAAGCACTGTTCTAGGCTCTGGGAACATGTTGGGGTGCAGCCCCTTCCCCTCCTTTTAGGGCTTACATTTTAGTGGAAGGAGGCACAAAATCAGCACATAAGTATTTAAACAAGTCAGAATTTGGGAAGGTTAGAAATACGAATAAAATAGAAGAGTAAAGAGATAAAGGTGGCCGCCAGGGTAAAGTGGTTCAGCCGCTGCTTTAGATGGTGGTCAGTGATGGCCCGTGAGCTGATTGGGAAGGAGCCAGCCACGCAGACGGAAGGGTAAAGGACAGCCAGCAGCCCAGAGAACAACATGGGAAGGTTGGGGGGTTGCCAGCAGGAAGGGACATGATTATAATTACTAACAGTGCTGGGCCCTGCCTCTGAGCACTTACACCCTCCCTCCACTTAATCCTCCCCCGACCCTGTTACCTTCCCCACAATGTCCAGAAGCAGTGGCAGAGCACAGAGCAACTGCGACACTTAGCCCAAGGTCAGGCGGGTCAGTGAGGGAGCCAGACAGCCTGGACTCCAGACCTGCCTGCCTAACCACATCTGGAACCGCCTCCGGGAAGCAGATTCATGTCTTTCCGTCAGTCCTGTGGCCAGACACTGAGCCCATCTCGTTTTTTTTCCAGGTGTACAAAAGAGCCAAGGCTCTGGACCAGTCTGACAACGACATGTCTGCCGTGTACCGAGCCTATATACACTAAGGCCTCGACACCCCACCCTTGCCCCCCAATCTCCCCTCTGACCCCCTCTTCCTCACATGGGGTTGGGGTCCTGGGACTTCACTCTGGACCAGTCCTCCTGTCTCCATCTCCTTTTATACAGACTTTGAGACTTGCCATCAGCACAGCACACAGCATCACTCTTCCCCTGGAGGTCCTGGGGAGAGGAGGGTGTCAGCAGGATTGGCCTGTGGGAAAGCTCTTGAGCTGGGCACTGGCCCCCGGACTAGGTGGCTGTGTGTTCACGAACACACACACCCCTACACCCACACCCACACACACCACACTGGCTCTCGCCCCAGGATAGAAGCTGCCCAGAAACTGCTGCCTGGCTTTTTTTTTCCCCTTCTTCTGAGCTTATTTTATCTCAGACGCCTTCCAGTCGAGGAACTAGTCAGCAGTGAGAATTGGAAGCCTTCCCACTGCTTCCCTCACAGGCGAAGAGGCTGCGGTCAAGTCCATGTCCCCCACTGGATCCCTCGCAGAGCACCTCTGGGCCCGAGGAGCCAGCACAGACTCTAAACAGAGGGTCCCTTGGGCCCCCCAACCTCAGGTGACCAGCTGATGAGGATTGTCAGGTTTAAGCTACCAACATGCAACCAAGTCTCCATAAATGCCTTTGTGAACTGAAAAGAGATTGGCAGAGTCAAGGAAGACAGGGCTCTGGCTTTCCCGGGAGAGCAGCACACAGCCAGCCCGTAGGTGAGCCTCACAGAAGCCCGCTTTTCCTCGCTGCTCTTCAGCACCCGTCCCAGAAGTCACTCACTGCGGAACCCTGGGCTGTGATCCGACTTCCGTGCTCGGTGTAGGGGGAGCTCACTCCTTATAGGCTGTTTCAGTATTTGGATTTGCATTCCAGCCCTTGGGAAGGGGGTCCTGAGGGCCACCAGTGAGGAGTGAAGAGGGAGGGGGAGTGGGGTTCCTTCCTGTTTCCGTTATGCCACAGACTCTTCACTTGGTTCTGAAGAGCCACTCTGACCCAAGTCCCCTCGCAGCTGTCCCAGCTTCTCCAGCCTGCCCCTGCACACGTCCCCTGCATGCCCACCTCTCTCCATTCTCCTCCCTCCCCCCTTTTCTTCCCATGGAGACAGTATTTCTTCCTGTGTGTCTGTCCCTTCTTTGGCCCAGACCCAGCCTGACCAACGATGACCATTTCTTAGGCTCAGCTCTTGAAACAGGAACGAGTGTCTTCACGTCAGCCAGCAGCATGGTCTTCGGTGCTTCCAGGGCCCCAGGGTCTGTCGGGAGGGAAGAGGAGAACTGGGCCTGACCGAGCCTGAACTAACTGACCCTCAGAGGTGGATCTAAGGCATCCTCGAGGCCCTAACATTTCTCCTTGGGTAGGGGACCAGAGGGGCTTGGAATGTGGCATGAGAACAAGGAGAAGTCACCTAAAGGATGTCGGTGCTCTCCCTCTGCATGGGCTGGATTTTCCAAAGTCACACTTTGCAGAAGGTCAGCATTTATAGTGAATATATAATGATAGATGTGTAGTGAGGTGGCCACGCTGGTGTGGGCCCCTCTCCCTCACTGATCGGAACCCAGGTTAGGGGATCTCAGAAGTGGGGGTAGGGGAGGGAAGATGCCTGTGGGGTTTTTGGCACAATTGTTAATTTCACTGGGATTTTGAATTCTTTTCTGTCTCAACACAAAGCCTGTTCTAGTCCTAGCCAGACACTGGGGGGTGGGGGAGGGGGAAGATGCTGTAATGAAACTGGTTAGTCAGTGTCTTAATATTGTTGACAATTCTGTAAAGTTTCTTTTTATGAATATTTCTGTTTAAGCTATTTCACCTTTGTTTTGAAATCCTTCCCTTTTAAGGAGAAAATGTGACACTTGTGAAAAAGCTTGTAAGAAAGCCCCTCCTCCGCCACCCTTTTTTTCCTTTAAACCTCCTTTCAATGACAAATCTTCTAGGTAATTAAGGTTGTGAATTTTTATTTTTGCTTTGTTTTTAATGAACATTTGTCTTTCAGAATAGGATTGTGTGATAACGTTTAAATGGCAAAAACAAAACATGATTTTGTGCAATTAACAAAAAGCTACTGCAAGCGAAATAAAACGTTTCTTGGTAACACAACTGTGAGTGATTCCGTTGGTGGCGGTGTGCGGCCGGTCCCACGGCGCCGGGACAGTGGGGTCCCCCGGCTGGATCCTCCCGGACCAACGGAACTCTCGGTCCGCTGGCGAGGCCGAGTGGGAACGGACGGCCCCGTCCGCCAATCGCCGGGCGCGGCGAGAGCAAGCCATCTCGCCGGCCAATCAACGAGTGCAGGCGGAGCAGGGCGCCCTATCCGAGCCGAGGAGGGGCGGGACGAGCGGACGCAGCGCTCCGGCGCGAGAGCAGCGGCGGACACGGCGCCCCACCGCTCAGCGCCCGCGGCTGGTGCCGGCGGCGTCCCGGGCGAGCCGGCGCGGGCGGGTTCGCGCAGCCGCCTCCCTCATCTCAGGGCGCCCGCAGCGTCGCGACCAGGGGCGGGGCGGGCGCCAGCTCAGCCAATCGGCGGCGGGGACGGTAGCCCGGGGGCGGGGCGGGAACCCGCTCGGCCAATCGGCGGTGAGGGGTGGGCCAGGGCGCAGCTGCGGACGGACGGCTGGCGGACCGAGCGACCAGCGGACGGAGGGCGGGTGACTGTCGCTGGGCGGCGGGCGGCGGCGATGGCAACGGCGATGGCAGCAACGGCAGCAGAGCGAGCGGTGCTGGTGAGGCGCGC